ACAGTGCACATTCTTCGAAATCTAATTTTTTACCAATAAATTATTAATAAAACTAGCTTATGACAAAGCAATCAATTTGGAGCTAAAAATGAGAAAAAAGAGGCGTCCTACTGTGAAAAAATTTTTCCGGCGGCGGGGGCACGGGTTGAGATCTCCCTCCTCAGCCCGCCCAAATCGACGGATATATATACCCGTTCCCGGATAATAATATATACGAACGGCGACAGACTCAGATGTAATTTTAAGATATCCTCGATTTTAAGGCACATAACGAGAGATTTTTATTGTGCAGTCAGGTTATTTAGATTTTGCAATACCGAAGGCCTCACGTACTAGCAGGCTGTTAGCTAACAGCATGCAGATTCTGGGGTAACACTTACTTGTACAAATTTAGAATTTTCTTCGTAGTCAGCAGATATATTCCTTGCTAAAGACAGTTGTTTCAGAGAATGAAGAGAAATATTGAGTTTCTGTTTTAACTTCAAGCCAACGTATAACTTGTACAGCAAATCGGCCGCAATCATCGGCTTCACGTTTATAATATCAGCAATAAAACGAGGTGTTGTTCGTATCCCCAATATATCGAGAATAGGTCTTATTCTATCGAAGTTTCTGATTTTCGCTTCATTACTCCTGCTATCTTAGAGTCAATAGTAAAGCAACTTACGAGGAATTTATTATTAAACTCAAGTCGGATAAAAGGTCATACTTATGCAGAAGCAGGGCAATGAGGAATCCATTGGACAGTCTTTTTTCCAAATTTTCTTGATCTAAATAAAGTTTATGTGTAAATCAAAGCACACAAACTTAGGTCGGTATCAAGTACGGCCGCAGCCCACTCGCACACTTCTTTGGACATTCGAAATAGTACAAACTTTGAGCACTGAGCAAACCTCTGATTGACAGATATAAACAAATCAATTTCAATTTTTAAACATGATCTTGGAGATTCTTTGAAGCAGAAGCGACTATGCTTTACTTGAAAAAGTACGAATAGGTTAACATTCATGAAGAAAATATGCATGTAGTAGACAAAACCGCATGAGACCGTCGAGAAGTTTGCGGGAAGAAAACGCAGATAAATAATTAGGATACAAAATACACGTGGAATTTTGCTGTTTTTAGGGAAGACCTGTGCGGGTATAAAAGCGAAAGCTACATGGCCAACTTTTTAGTGTATATATTGAAATGAGGTGCATTTAAAGGAGACAGAAGCAGCAAATAGATTATGGAAACAGACTTTTATAATTCAACATTTATGTCATTGCGATAGCTGTAGCATTTCCAAACCAATTATAGAGATATATGAATGTAAACCGGACACATACTCCCATTCCTAGCACACTACCTCACATGTGAAGAAACGGAAATTGAGAAGTTGAAAGCCGACCTGTCTCCCTAACATGTGTGGATATCGTGCAAACCATTAACTTTAAGTATTCTGCGACCGTTTACCCATTACCATGACCCCTTACCTTATTCCTTGCTCTCCGTGAATGGAGCCATTTTTGCTGAAACTTTTCGATATAGCTTTATCTCTTATGTCTATATTGGCCGGCGGTTGCTTTAGAGTCTCTGAGTGGCCGATCTGCGTATCAACCTCAAGATAAACGTTGTTTTCTTTGATAAACTGGTGCGAAAAAACAGTGAATTGATATTGGACGTGAAACACCGATCATTATTAGCTCCACATGAAACGGCCTACAGGGGTCCGGCTAATAGGTACTACACTTGCATATCAACATGCATACAATCATTTTACGAGGTACAATGAATCCTTGGGCGCTATGGAAGTATAATAATGTTGGAATAATAAAAGCAGTTTTAAATAACAGAGTAAACTAGAAAGGGGAAGGATAATACCCATACAGATACTAAAGGGTTACGTATATGTATATTTGAAGGGTTACAGGCAACGAATGCCCTTGAGGACGCTATTAATGTGAAG